AGAACGGACTGATAGCTGAACCAGGCAAAACTCAAACTCAGCTCATCTTCCATGCAAACCATGACCTGGGATTGACCTTCTCTCCATGTGAGGCATCGCTAACTGTGGAAATTCAGAACATAAAGGTTCACGGTGTCGAGCAACAAGTTCTACACAACTTGGTTAAATATGATGTATACAGGATTTTCCCACAGAAACATTCAAGCCAAGACCAAAAAAAAAAAAAAAAAAAAGACTTCTTTCCAAACCTGGGCAAGATCTACACCTAAAAAAAACAGACTGATCTATATAGGCTCTCAATCTCAGAACAGGCACCCAATCTGGACAGTTCCCCCGCTGCCAAATTTTACGACATCTTCACTTCACCTTCTTCGCCCACAGGCCCAAATTGAGGAAGCTGTAAAATCCGGGGCAAATGCAGCCATTTGCTAAGAGAAAAAACAACATGGGGCCCATCTGTACTCTACAAGGGCTCTGCTGGTCCTGCCTCTGTGTCCCGATTTTCAGGGCCACCCACCTCCCTCAGAGCACCTGGCCGCTCTTGGAGGCCTTCGCTGGGTTTTCAGTATCTTCCTAGAGAAAACATTTTTTTTTTTTTTTTGAAGAGTCAAAGAGAAGTCCTTCAAAAACTGACTGATGCCCTTCCTTCATGGTCACCATAGGGTACCTTAATGTTACCTACTTACAGCCCACAGGACAAGCAGCTCTCCAAGGGCAGGCCTTGTTGGCTCCTTGCTGCCCAGCAAGAGACCTTCCACATTGCAGGCCCTTGATAAACACCAAGGAAGGAGCCTCTCGTCTGAGAGAAACCCCAAAGCCAAAACAGTGGGGGGTGGGGGGAACCCTGAAATCATTATCCAGCGCTGGACTCAATACCCACATTCTTGATCTATGATAAGTGAGGGAAAATACCATGTCATGCCTTCGAACCACAAAAGATTTCCATGGAATTCAAGAAGTTCCTTTACCAGCTCTAATTTTAGGCAGAACTTAGGAGGATACAGGTGCCAACAGTGGTGGGGGGCAGTGGAGAGGAACTGAACAAGGCCCTTATTCTGCTCGGCACAGGTGCTGGTAACAGGACACCTCTCTCTACAGTGAGAGGTGGGGTAGGGAATTCAAGGTGTGCTTCGGTGTTTTTCAGCCCCCAGTCCCATTACATAACCCCCAACACACTCTCAAACCTAGTAACCTAGTACAAAGTTCTCCCTGTATCAGGCCCAATTCAGCTCCTGACACGCTGATTCTTGAGCAACAAGGCTGAGGAAAATATTTGGTTTTAGCATCCAACTTTAAAAAAAAAAAAAAAAAAAAAAAAACCTAAGTTAATTATTTAAAGAAGAAAGATATCCACAGTGACTTGCCCTTGAGTTTAGCCAGTCTCCTGGTCTTAAAAGCTTCCCAAACATCATCAAATTCTTTGCTGGTTCAATTACCTAAACATTAAAAAAAAAAAATCAATCAATCAATAAAAATAAATTTAAAAACTACAAGTATCAAATCACTGTGTTGTATATCTAAAACCAATATAACGTTGTATGTCCACTATATCCCAATAAATTAAAAAAAAAGTCATGGCTCAAATCTGCTATTTGCAGCATTTAGCCTGCTTTTCTTGGCACTTGGATAGAAACTCCAAAAAGATTCTAGAACCTCGTCAATGTCTAACCACTGTCAAACATCAGAAGCCAGTCAGGTGGCCTTCCATAGAGTCACTGGCAAGCTACTGTTCCCCCAGACAAACGGGGGATGGGCCCTCGCCTCCAGCCACGTGAATCTCTGTCTCCCCTTCCCTTTGGGACCAGCTCACACCAGACAACTTGATTTATGTGGATGGGCGGAAAGGCAGCCACTAAGCGATTCTGCACACCACCGTCATCAGTGACCACCACCACAGGAGGGTGGAAGACGGGGAAACACAAGGTTTCCTCTCGTCAAGGAATCAATAAGTTATTTAACAGCTGCTGCTGGATCCCAGTGGAAGAAGAGCGAGGGTTTCTTCCGCACCCTTCCCCCTGAAAAGGATAAAACGCACACCCTGACCGCTGAGGATTTAGCCAGATGAAGGATCACTAGAAAAAAGCAGGATTCCTCTCCAGCTTTTCAGTGTCTTGAGGTTTTTGGTTTTGGAAGATGTATGGTGTTAGGCCTTGAAATTACTCCATTTTTTTTTGTTGTTGTTTTCTTTTTTTTTTTTCCCTCCAAAGAGGAAACTGACTCCCTTCCTGTGTCACTGTACATTTTGGAGAATCAAATGCTACTAAAAAAAAAATTTCCTTACCCTTTCCTCACCCCAGTCCAGCACTACTTCTGGAAAAATAACCTAAAAATTTTCTCAAGATGGCATTCCAAATGGGTTTCCAACATTTACACTTGTCCTTCAAAGCAAATAGAAAGGGGACCAAAGACATCAGAAACCCATCGTGGCAGTTCAAAGAGAAAAAGGATAAACTGGTCATTAGAAAGCCAGCTGACTTCAGATATTAAAAGACTGACTTTTGTTTGTCACAAAAATGCATGGTGACTCCATGCATTATGCATACTATGCACTGCTTATCCTATATGCCCAAAATTTTTTTTAATTCCCTTTTAAAATATCACTCCCATCCAACCCACAAAGAAGTCTTTTAAAAAGAAAACTCCATTAAAATATTCAACAACTGTCTCCTGCGTAAACAATCTTGGCAATCAGGCTACCCCTTTCTTTTTCCTTATCTCTCTCTACTCCCCAAAAGTCTGGAATCCTGCAGACCCCAAGGCAAGTTTTAGTCTTCCCCTCCAGTTTGCTTTTCAAATCTTTGCCAAAACAAAACAAACAACCTTAAAATAAATGCCTTCCCACAGGATGTTGAACAAACCCTACTAAATTCAAAGGGAAAGAAGTCAGGAACCACAAACTATAGATCCAGCACTGAAAGGGCATTAAATAAATCCTTATTTTTAACTGGCATCTTGCAGAGGGAAAAACATGCCACCCTGGCACCCACAAATCCCCCTGGCCAGAATGCTAGAGGGCAGCCACAGGATGGCAGGTGGAAAACAGGGGGCCCATCCTGTGGTGGGCTACCTTCTGAAAGGCTTTGCGTTCAAACTGCTAAACGCAAAGAACGGAGACCGGAGGGATTATGGATTAAGGAACAAAGAGAGAGAAAAAACTCTAGATTTTTTTTTTCTGGGTCTGCAGTGGGCAGAACTTTTAGGTCACTGGGTCCTTGTTACTACTCAGAGACTGGAAACATCCATTTCTCTTCAAAAAGAAAAAAGAAAAAAACACAAGCAGCTTTACCTGCCCATCTCAAATTCTTCCCCTGGTGATCAAAATACACATGTGCCTCAAACCAAATCTTTGATTATAAGGCATACAGAATTTAAGTTAACAAGAAATACCCCAGAGTCCGAGGCGGGGACACCAATCTTTGTCTCAAAAGAGCACTTCAATAGGTCAATGTGGATTGGGGGCAAAGCAATGAAAGAGGCTGTCTTTGAACAGGGTATAATGCATCTAATTCCAAGTGGCTGGATTAGAGGCATTCCTGGACAAGCAGGGTCTAGCTGAAGATAATGCTACACGAATGTCAATTTCTCACACACACAAAACAACAACAACACAGGCTCTGTAGAAGGAGGGCCAAGACCAGGATGGAGGCACCTTGGAAAAGTTCACCCTTAGGGAGATGGCACTTGCTTCTAAAAGGGGGAAGCAGGCGTGACAGCTGAGCATTCCTTCACAAAGTCCATCTCCCAGGCCAAACCCTCTCTAAACCTTACACTGCATCAGACAAAAGCTCCTCCAAACGCCCAGTCAGCGGCTGAAGAGGGGCTATCCACACCCACCGGCTGTACAGCTTTCCAAACCTGCCTACTCGTTTTGGAAGCCGAGCTTTTAATTAAACACCACCTCCCCGGATCTGTTGAGGCAAACTGGGGCTGGGTTAAAGCCAAAGAGAAGCTCCCTAAATACACATGGAAAAAAAAAATCCCCCCACCGCCCCCAATTCCCACCTCCAGCCAGCTCGCGAGGCTGGTTATATTTCCTTTGGATGAGTAACACAGGGCCCTGGTCTATCTCTATGCACCAGAAAATCCACATCCAAGGATCAGGTTATCCCCAGTCCCACCCTTTGCAGGAAAAAAACCAGGGTGTTGTTCCCCGCCCCCAATACACACGCGCGCGCGCGTGCGCGAGCACACACGGACACACACACACACACACCACACACACACACAATATTCATAATCCTTCCAAGAGAAAACCTGGAGTCTGTGTGTGGTGGGTGGGGGGAGGGAAATACAGTTCTTTAGGGGACCCCAATCTTGCCTTCAGGCTGAAGCCTCAGCCAGTGGAAGGAGGGTCCCCAGCAAGGCTACTCTGGGAACTTCTGCTCCGCGCCCCCGGGGAGGGCTGAGGAAGGCATGCACACCCTCACCAGCTTAGGAACAGCCCAATTAATGCCTAATTTGCTCAGATCCCTCCCCCCCCCCCCAGATGAACCTGAAAGCCAAGCAGGGAGAGGAAGGCCTCTCTCTCAGGCTCTCGGCCAGGGGTGGGGGGCCGGTTCCCGGGGCCAGGCAGAGCCCCCATACCCCTCCCCACCACCGCGCCAGGAGCCCCCACCCCGTACTCGGGGGAATGAGGTGTCCGCCCAGACACCCAGTCTCCAAGGGTCGCAGACACTCCGTCCAGCGACAGACAATGGAAAACTTGGGAGCCGGGGCCCTGCGCCCCCAGGGAAACGAGATGGTGCCGCCCCCTGGGACAATGAGCGTGGAGAGGGCAGGGGGCATAAGACACCCCCAGAGAAGCAGCCCGCCCGGTGACCCAGCAGAGCCCGGAGCGGCGCCGCGGGTGAGCAGGTGACACCGGGCCGGAGCGCTCCCGCAGGTGGCCGGCGGCCGCGGCGCAGGCAAGGGCTGGGCGGCTGGCCCGGGGCGGAGGCGAAGCACCGCGGCGAGGTCAGTGCGCGGCCGCCGCCACAGCAGCCGCGCCCCCGGCGTCCTACCTTCATGTCGCTGATGATGGTCTGGAAGAGGCCTCCGAGCGCGCTGCATTCCTTCTCAATCACAGCCTCCATTTTCCCGGCGCCGGCAGGGAGAGGACACACACTCAGGGCCGCCTGGACTGTGCGCGGGGCCGGGGCTCGCTCACCCGCGAGCAATTCCACCCTCCGAGCGACCCACCTACGACTCACAGCCTCTTCTGCAAAGAGGACGAAGTGCCCAAGATCGGCTGTTCTCTGCCCCAAATAATAACAATAATTTAAAAAGCCAAACCGCCCTGCAGGGTGATTCGCCTACATGCAGTGCTCGGCTCCTGGTCTTAAAAATGCCCGGAGAAGACTGACAATCAGGCCACCACTGGTGCCCACGACGGAAACAGCACAGCCCATCTTGAAGCAGAGAAAACCGCCCGCTGACCTGGGGCCAGCGCCATTTAAAAATGCAAGATTTTCTAATTTAATAATATTTTTGAAATTAAAAAAAAAAATCGCCCAACAGCAGAACGCGTCTGCTCGCGGCGTCCGGATCTGTTGCTCGCAGCCGCGGCCGCCGCCTCCTTTTCACTCCTGCGCGCCCGGCCCCGGCGCTCGCTCTGGCGCGGCTCCCGGGGACGTTCGGAGGGGCGCACGCGCGCTCGCGGCCGTGCGTCCGCCGCGGGGGCGCGGGTAGGGCGCGCGCTCGCGGCCGTGCGTCCGCCGCACGCGGGCGGGGCTAGGAGCGCATGCCCGGGAGGCGCGTGGAGCGCACGCCGCGGAGGGGAACTGGCTGGCTGTGCGGCGAGGATTCCAGCCCCGCGGGAGCCACCTCCTCCTCAGAGCACGCGCGGAGCACCCCCTCCTGCCCTGGGCGCGGGTCGCAGCGCGGAGAGGGCGTGTCAGCACGCGGCTGGAAGAGCGCCCACCCCACAATGGCTGCGAGCGCCGGGAACCGAGGGTGCACCGCCGTTCCCCGGGGTCTTGCAGGGTGGCACGCTTAGCGCAGTGCCCAGCATATTCTAGTGAGCGCTCAGTAGGGCGGGAAAGCTGACGCGGCTGCTGCTACTGCAGTCTTTGGAGAAGCCCTTTCTGTGGTATCAGGACTGCCACGCCAGTCACGATTGCAGACAGCATTCGTAATTTGTAATTAATTTGTAATTAACAAATATGTAATTAAGGAGAGTTTGGGTGCGTATCCTGTGGCGGGATGCCCAGTTCAATAAAAGTTGCAGGATGCTGGGAAAGTGGATTGATTTGCCATTGCAAAATAAATGGATTGAGCTTCTGTATCCTGTCTTCGGTTTCTGGATATTGTTGACTGCCTGTGACTCGGATGTTTTTTTGGTTTTCGTTTTTTCAGGCCCGCTGAGGGCATTGGGTGTTGGTATCACTGCAGAGAGCCCTGTTGGGACGTTCAACCTGGAAAGAGCGCAAATGTTCCTGAGTTGATTTGGAGGCTGGTGGTTCATTTTCATAGCTCCACCGCCAAACTGCACATAGCTGGGGCCCTCATTTAGATTACCACCAAATAGGCAAGGAAGAAGGGAATCAAATGAGCGGCTTTTAAAAGACCTCTAAACGTAAGCACCTAACTCTTGACTGCTCCCTTGCCCCGTAAGCTGACCCTGTGAAGCACAAAATACAACAAAAGGGAGGAAACAAAAGAAACCATATGCAAAATGCTGTAGGCTTGTTCAGACTCACTCAGTAATAATAGGTCAAGTTCTGGCTTTGAAAAACTGCATGAATCAAGGAGATTCATGGAGGGGCACATCACAGCTGCGGAAGATAATTTTACCTTGGAGCACTCTGCCCAACTTTTTTTCTTAAAGATTTTATTTATTTATTTATTTATTTGAGAGAGAGAGAGAGAGAGAGAGAGCACATGAGAAGGGGGAAGGGTCAGAGTGAGAAGCAGACTCCCAGCCGAGCAGGGAGCCTGGTTGGTGCTTGATCGCAGGACTCCAGGATCGTGACCTGAGCCCAAGGCAGTCGCTTAACCAACTCTGTCCAACTTTTCATCACAACCCTTCTCCACCCCCTCCCAAAAATCATAAGGAGGAGTGTTACTTCTGGAGTTAACCAATCTCTTGGACAACCCTGCTGGATCCTGTCCCCAAGGTTATGGGGATGTATAAGTCACATCTTCACCTTGCCAGTAATAGTAGTTGACATACAGTTTGCTGTCAATCATTATCATTAGTATGATATTTAGTACTATTGGTATTATAGTGATCAGGTCACTGTTTATAGAGCCTGATTGTACTGGGTTCAAACTCCAGTTTACAACCTACTAACTGACTGTATGACCTTGGCCCAAACTAACTGGGCCTCAGTTTCCTCATCTGTAAGTGGGGATAAAAACTTCATAGGTCTGTAGTGACTTTTACTTCCACTAATATATGGAAAGCATTTAAAACAGTTCCTGGCATATGGTAAATAAGCATTCGATAAATCTTACAGACGTAGCTTCTTCATAATAGCTTCTTCATAATAACTATTATGAATAGCCAAGATGTGGGAACAACCTAAATGTCCATAATGGATGAATGGATAAAGAAAATGTGGTATGTACATACAATGGGGTATTATTCGGCCTCAAAGGAAATCCTGCAATATGTAACAACATGGATGCAACTTGAAGACATTACGATAAGGGAAATAAACCAACTACAGGACAAAGACTGCATGATTCCACTTATGAGTGGAATTGAGTACTAGCTAAAATACTCAAATTCATAGGATGGCTGCCAGGCGCTGGGATTGGGGGAAGGCGGTAATGGAGAGTTGCTAGCCAATGGGCACGAAGTCTCAATTACACAAGATGAGGTAAGTCTAGTGAATTAGGGATTGTGAACAGGAAAGGGACAACATCAGATTTACACCCCCTACATCACATTCTTTCCACATGTTTAAGCATCCCTCAAACTCTTTCCTCCCTTCAAAATGCCCAGAACTCACTGCGCAGACAAGATCTGATTAACATGCAATTCCTCCCAGGAGTGTTTGCTTTTTTTTTTTTTTTTTTTTAATAGCTCCTAGGAGGAGGAACCCAGAGGAATGAAAGCTCTACTAAAGGAATTTCAAGTCGTGTGATCTTGGAAAGGAGAGAATGAGAAGCAACGAAGCCTTCTCAAAGGCACTCCCATCACCATCCTTCCTTCACCTGGTAGAGGGTGGTTCAGGATGCCCACCACCGTCTCCTAGCCCTGAGACTTCTGGCAGGTTGTTTGATCTCTGGAGCCAGCCTGTTTCCTTGCAGGTTCCTGACTCGTGGCCTCTTTCCAGGGTTGAAGTAGATATCAAATGCCTATCACATAATAGTCTACCCACAGGACTTCCCTCTCAGAAGTAATTCTCAGCCCCAGGTGCACCAGGAGCTCTGCCTGGTCCTCAGACTTGGCAATTGGAATCCCCTGGGGGAATTTGAAAACACCTGTGCCTGAGTTCCACAACCAGGGAGGCTGATTTAATTCATCTGGGCCATAGCCTGGGCATCAGGACTTTTTAAAACTCCCCAAATGATTCTAACGTGCAGCAAATTTGAGAACTTTGATCTAAGGAACTTTAAAAGAAACTACTCTTGCTCAGGTCCTACCCTTAAACAATTAAAGTAGAATGGGAACTGGGCTCCAGATTTTTTTTTTTAATGTATTATACACATTTTATCCCATCCTCGTATAAGGACATACAGGCATATGGGTGTGTGTGTGTGTACATATGTGTGTGTGCATATTTTGTCATTATTTGCTTTACATGAATAGAATCACATCACACTCACTTTTCTGGATCTTGTTATTAAGACTTCCTGTTGAGGCATCTGGGTGGCTCAGGTGGTTAAGCGTCTGCCTTGGGCTCAGGTCATGATCCCAGCGTCCTGGGATTGAGCCCCGCATCAGGCTCCCTCTGCCCCTCCTCCTTGCTCAGGCTCTCTTTCTCAAATAAATAAAATCTTTTTTAAAAAATTAAAATTAAAAAAAAAATTCCTGTTAACACTTCTTACCATCAACAATTCTTGGGGCATCTGGGTGGCTCAGTCAGTTGAGCATCTGACTCTTGGTTTCAGCTCAAGTCACGATCTCACAGTCTTGGGATCAAGCCCCTCATCGGGCTCCACTCTCCACACGGAGTCTGCTTTGGATTCTCTCTCCCTCTGCTTCTCTGCCCACTTGTGCTCCCTCTTTCTCTCGCAAATAGGTAAATAAATAAAACCTTTAAAAAAAATTCCTATAGAAATCCCTCCAAGTCAATTAATGTTATTCCAATACACTTTTTTCATTTTTTTTTTACTTTGCTACAATTTCAAACATACAGAAAGAAGAGTGCAGAGACTTCCACATTCACCCTGCATTAGATTCCCCAAATGTTAACCCACGATGGTATTTCCTCCGTGCTTTGGAGGCTCCTCACAAGATTCCAACGTGTGTCCAGGTTGCTAGGGGAAGTCTCAGGGATGCGATGAAGCTTCAGGCAATGGTCTGTGACACTTCTGACCCTTGTACAAGGGCAGCCAGGCAAGGTGGTGAAGAGGATAGGCTCAGAGTCAAGCAGCCTAGGTGTGAATTCTGACTTCTTCTCGTCCCAGCTTTTCGTGCCTCAGTTTCTTCATCTGTAAAATAGATAATGGAAGTGTTATGGAACCTAAGGGTGTGTGAGGCCTAAATGGGATGACTGACTCTAGCACTTGGCACACAGTAAGTAAGGACTCAATCAAGGTGAGCTATTCACATGTATTGATCATTACCATGGCTCATCTGTGAGATAAAACTGGTTTAAGCTCCCCCTCATGACCCCCTCATGACCTATTAGCAGAATGTCTTATGAGCCCCAACCCACTAAATCCCTTAGAAAAACTGGGCAGTTGTCAGTAGATAAAAGCGTCTCAAATTTAGAAACGGAAGGCCTTTTTGAAAATGAAACCAGCAAGAATCAACAGTAATATCTGTTGCAGTGACTCACCCTAAGAGATGTTTTGTATGTGTTTGTGGATGGTGGCCTGGGATACACCCAAGAATAATATAACCTCAATGTGCCAAATGTGTCACTGAGGCAGGAAACTAATGAAAGAAGGTCTACCCTCACAGACTGGTTGGTAACAAGGCCAAAGGCTGGAACAGCGGGGTCACAAGCTCATCATGTCTATGGGGTCAGGCAGCATACCCGTGAAGCAGGCCAATTGTCCGTTCATAAGAAGCGGGGGAACGGTGGACGCCTGGAGAGCAAAGTGCTCGCTCCAAGAGCCAGTTGTTCCTCGGTCCCAGGCCGAGTGGGAATGTGTGCCCTTATTGCCACGCATTCCAGTCCTTCCAGAGGGGCTGAAACTTTGCAACTTGATGTGAAGTTTTCCAAAATCTAAATATTTTAAAATTTCCCAGTTTTTAAAATCTCCTCTGCAGGCCAGTTTGAAGCATCTGGTCATGGCAATTACATAGTTTGGTTCATGGGAAGATGTGAAAGAGGGGAAAAGTAAAAGAATTTACATTTTTCAGGGTGTCTGGGTGGCTCAGCCAGTTAAGCATCTGCCTTCAGCTCAGGTCATGATCTCAGGGTCCTGGGATCGAGCCCTGCATCGGGCTCCCTGCTCAGCGGGGAGCCTGCTTCTCCCTCTCTCTCTGTCCTCCC